TGAATAAACTAATCATATATAAACATGAATATAAATGTGGAGGAATGATTACCTTTTGTAGCACAAAAATAATTCAAGTGGAAAGGGAATCGTCCAATTATCCGGCATCCATTGATAATCTACACGACTTAAATATCCATACAAGAAAAAATAAAAATCCTAAAGTATTAGCTTCAATCCTTCGTATGGTTAATTTTTCTCTAGAAATCCTATAGTGTAATTTATGCTAACTTTTGGCTTTTTAGGAAGAGATGCGTCAAGTAATTATTTTTAAGAGAAAAACATTTTTCCTTTTTTTTCTATTGTTGTGAGTTTTCTTTCTTTCGTTCTTCTATTGCTTCTTCTCTCATCCCTCTTATATATAGAGGGCGACAATTTCTCCTTATAAGTTAAGGACATGTTATTTATGTGGGCTTTGTCTAATCTTATCCTTGTAAATCATGAGTCTTATCCAATAATGCTCAAGTCTATCATTAAACCAAAATATCTTATAAGCTTTTAAATTAAACCTATTGACAAACTCTTTGGCCTAATTAATTTGGATAATCTAAATAAATCGAGTCAAGTATTTTAATGAGGCCCACATTAGAAAATCATTTCATAAATTATTCTTAAACCTAAATTAGAAAAATAATTTTCCTTTTTGGTAACTATCTTCTAAACTTAGACTGATTCCAAATTAGAAAACTCATTTTTAAAATAAGAAATTTTTTCCAAAACAGGAAACTTTTTTCAAAATCTTTGCTTTTCTTTGATTGTGTGAATATTTAAACTTATGCGTGTGACTTAATAAGCTCATAGATATGTTGATAATGTATCGAGAAGATAAAAGGCACCTCTTTTATCTCTTGATACATAAATTAAGATTAACCTCTAACAAGACATCATGACTATACAATTCTTTAGAAGGATTAATTAATCTATAATTACTTTTCACAAACATGGTTACCATATAATTCAATCCTCATGTTAATTTATCATAGTGAGATCTCGAACTTGTTTTATAGTACGTTCGATTATGATCATACAAGTTTTTTTATTCTCAAATATCTTAACTTTAAAGTAAACCAACTATGCTCTATTGGTATATTTTCACTCGTGGTCATAGATTCCTTGAGCATATATTTATCGAAGTGCAATATGATAGCTCCTTTAACATATGATATAAGGATTAACATGTCCTATTTTAGTCATTCATATATCTCCATTAAATTCCTAGTGAACCCGATGTATCGTCTAATACGGATCTTGACTAAGACCATCGAAATGAGTGTCAAAATATATAAATCCTCTAATGAGATAATTGTGATGACTTCAAGGCAAAAGACCATTTGTACCCATTTTGTATGAGATTCTTATAGACTAAACCAAATGGGTTCTTATGGTGAGTCACATCCAATGATATGTTTTTTAACATTAATCACTTAAGTGCTTGCTTTGGTATCACCATGTCGGTAGGTGTGAGATCTCCTATTGCAATCTTATAACAAGAGCATAAAACTCACAAGTCTTATTATATATTATTAATGTTTATTCTTGACAATATTACGACTTGAGATATTTAATGATATCATTTAAATATATTGATGTTTGTCTTATATCTTTCTATCAATCATTAATGCAATGAATATCATATGAACTTTTATCTAATTCTATCAAGTTATTTATAACAAAAATCAATAGAAAAACTTCTTTTATTAATATTGAAATGCAATATTACAATACATCAAACCATTCAAACAAGGTTGGATCTTGAGCATCTATATTAACACCATATACATATGATTTTGTTTTGACAGATTGGGACCATATTTTATTTTGACGAGTTAGGACTATATGCACATTCATATGCCTTTTGTATGTTTGGGACCATAAGTGTATGGTTGGGAATATTAATTATAAAGCATGTTTTTTTTTTTTTACTTTTTTTCTTGCTTTTCAAGTGAACATTTCGGATTAGGACCATATGCATATGCCTTTGTATGTTTGGGATCATAAATGTATGGTTGGGAATATTAATTAGAAAGCATGTTTTTTTTGTTTTTATTTTTTGCTTTTGTGTGATCATTTCAAGTTGATTTAGAAAGATATTTATACTTGATAAACACTTTAGTACTATTTCTTTATATGTCTAACTAACTATCTATATAAAATGGTTAAATTCACAATATCATTTCTAAACTAAAGTCCTGGATTGCAAGTTAATAGCTAATGACTTTTGCTTTTATTTTACAAAGCTTCTAGTTTTCTACTATTATATTTGCTTTTAGTCGTTAATCTCATAACACCACTTGTTTTTACCATTTTACAAATGACGTTTTAAGATGTTAGGTTTCCAATCATAGTTTTGTAAAGCTAGAGTTATGAAAGTTGACAATTGTGAGGTAGCTAGTGTAATGTATTAATATAAGAAAAAAGACTAGATATTTATTTGGTCATCTAATGGATTGCTTTTAAAACGAGATTGCTTTTGTAATATTTGAGAATATAATGTAGAGAAGATTATTAGGAGTAGTTATTGTAGTTTGGATTTGATCTTTATCAAGGCTCTATCTTTTTTAGAATAAAAGAATCATTGTCCTGTAATCTCATAACTAATGTCACAAGTAGTCGTACCGGGATTTTGAAAGCAACTATAGGCTTAAGTGAAATTGAACTTAAATTATTAGGTTTTTTCCTTGTTTGTTTTCAAAAAGTGATTCTTTGATTTTCTGTCATATATGAAATATAATCTAATCAGTGTGGAAATTTTTTTGCATGTTTACGTTAGTTTCTCTACTAGATTTATAAGTAACTCGATCTATACCAATATGTGAACTTTTATTTAAAATAAGGTAAGCAATAAAAATATAAGGAATGTTATATATAAAATATCTTCTAGCCTTACTTATTGTTTAGTTTAAAACTAACATTCTATTATGATCATTTGAAGGTAACATATATCCTAATAACATAAAACCTATAACTATTGCTAATAAATACCACTTTACGATACCTTTCACTTTCTTTCTTAACTCCTTCATGTCAAGTCTCATTCTTTGCATTTCAATAAATTCGGATCTCATCTTATCCATTTCTTTAATCAAATATTTTATTGTTTGCTTTCTCTTTTTTGCTTTAATTCTAATTAAACTCGAATTCTCTTTTTCAAGTATTTCTACTCACTTTATTCTTTCCTTCAACTCTTCAATGTCAATTACCACCGACTTCCCATCTCTACAGTCATTGCTTCCTTCTTCAATCCACTTTCAATACCCATAATTATCAACTTGAAATATCAAACAAGAATTTAAAGAACAATACCTTCCAATATAGGCAAGGACATAAATTTCATTTTCGAAAGTACAATACCTTCCAACATGGGTAGTAATGGAACTTTTTCCTTAGGTTCGATTTTATTCTGAAATATATATGGTTGTCTTTATCTTGTGTTTGTATAAAGGCATCTTGAAACTCGAGAAAGATATTTACGAAGCTTTATCCATGTTGAAGCTACTAGTTTTCAATATTTCATTTACCATATGAACAATTGGTCTCTCTAGGTTATAGATTCGAATTTTTTTATAATAAACATGAAAAGATGTTAGATAAATAACGGTTTAGGATTTTGAATTAGGGGATTAGGGTTTTTAAGGATTTGCTTAAAGGTTCATCTCTTGAGGATTAGGATTTTGAATTTGAGAGATTAGGGATAAAGAGGGGTTTGAGTTTTCAATTATAGAACTATACTAATTACTTTACGATAGAATGACATAATAGGGTTGGTTTAGGGGATTAGAAGTAAGGAGAAGGTGAAGGAAGAAAAAGGGAGATGGTGGTTTTTTGGGTTCGTTTGGAGATAAAGAAAATAGTGGTCTATGGATTCGATTAATTATGAAGAAAAAGAATGATGGTGTGTTATGTAAAATTCAAATAGAAAGCAAATGACATACGGGCTAGGGTTAGAGAGTTAACGTTTTTTGAATTTATGGGTTTGGTTATACGAAGAAGGAAGGAAATGACAAGAAAAAAAAAGAAAGAAGATGATGAATTTTGATTCTAAGAATGAGGAAGAAGAAGGAAGAATGAAGGATCTATGGGTTCGATTACGGGAAGAAGGGAGAAGAAGATGAAAGCAAAAAAAAAGAGAAGACGAAGAAGGAAGATAAGAGGATATGTCATTTCAATTCTAAAAAAAGGAAAAAGAATAAAAAAGAGGAAGAAGAGAGGATCTATCATTTTGGTTTCGAGAAAAAGGAACGAGGAAGAATGAATGATCTACGGACAAAAGATTGAGGAATTTGAAAAAACGATGTATTGTAGATAATTAAAATGAATTTGAAAAGGTTGGAGTTAATTTGAATTATGGATGAAGGATTTTTTTTTTATAATTAGGGTATATATGGAATGGCATGTCTTTTAAGTTTTGTAATTGATTTTCTATGTCAACACTTACGTGGAATCCTATATGGCACATTGAGTCTAGTTGTCGTGCTTTGTCATTTGCCATGTTAATGTTGCCTAGATTTTTGGTTGAAAACTTAAATCGATACTAGTATTGTTATCGAAGGCTTAGTTGATGACCTTTCTATACAAGTTTTAAAGAACGAACTAAAATTATTAAAACATGTATAGTTCATGATTTTCTAGAACATTAAGCCTAAAAAGCCCTAATTCAAATTAAAACAACCCTAACCCTTACCATTGGCTTCATCATTCTTCTTCTTTTTCCTTTCCATTTTAATTTGTCATGGACCACCATCTCCATTCTTCCTCTTTCTTGATCAAACCCACAAACCATCATCTCTTATTCTTCTCCTTCATTTTCTTCTCAAATCTAAACCTAGGCATCACCATTCTTCTTCTTGTTTTTTTCTCCATAAACCCACAAACCCCCTCTCATTCTCTCATTTTTGTCAATTTTCATGAAGCATCTAAGGAATTACAAAGCCAACAATTAGAAGGCTAGTAAGAAGATGAGGTATGGAGAGAATTAGTTGGCTTATTTATGAAGAAACAAGATGGGTTCGAAGATCTTCCTTGACAATATGATTCGCGATGTTGTTACTTATACAGAGCATGCTATGAGAAAGATTGTCCTTGCTATGGATGTTGTTTATGCTCTTAAGAGGCAAGGTTGCACTTTGTATGGGTTTAGTGGGTTAGGGTTTTTTGTTATATTTGTATGGGTTTCCTTTGCTAAGGAATTTGGATCTTTTTATGGGTAGTAATTGAAAATTTGGATCCGTACTAGAATTTTTTTATTAATTCTATTTTCTTTATCATTTTGTAATTTATTTTTTATCCTTTTAAGCCGTAATTATTTGCCTTATTATAGATTTTAGGACTTAATGATACAAAATACTCCAATAAGAGCTTTTTGGTGAAATTTAAGGAACCGAGTTATCAGGATTGATAAGAAAGAATTAACATATTTCTTAGTATGACTTAAAGAGCCATTGATGTAAGGTAGTTTACTTGTTCGATGTTTAATATGTTAAGGATTTCTACTTATTTTTCCATCCTCTAAAGCTATAGTTACCGTAGTTAGCCCATGTAGATCTACTTGGCATTAGTCATTAAATCAATGCATTACTATTTTAATGAACACATTAGCCTTGTCTCTTAGATATTTACAAATTTACAAAACTAATGTGTTTTTAACATAATGGGTTATTGGCTTGTTTTATGCAAGTGTTAGAATTTATGAATTAGAATGGCATAAAAAGAAATTTGGGAGTTTTAAAATGGAAAATATTAGTAATTGCTTTGATATTCATTAAAAAACAAGCCTAAGAGTAATACCCCTAACATAGATGTTAGTCGGTACATGTTGTACAAACAACTTTTGATGAGAAGTGAAGAAATGAGAAGAATGAGAGATGATGATCTGTGGATTCGATTGGGTCGGAGAAGGAAGAATAATGAAGATGGTGGTTTATGGGAAATTGAAATGGAAAGCAAAAGGAGAAGAATGATGAAGCCATTGGTAAGGGTTAGGGTTGTTTTAATTTGAATTGGTTTTGTTTTGTTTTTTTAGTTTTTTTGTTCTATTTTTGTAATTAAGGTAGGGATATGGATGTCATGTCTTTCAAGTTAATTGTTCATGTGGTTGCTTACGTGGATCCTGCATGTCACATTTAGCTTACTTGTCATGCTCCAATATTACGTGCCATATTAGCTTTGATTGAAATTTTAATAAAAAAAACTTCACTTGTGTTAGTATTATTATAGCGAAGCTTAGTTCATGACCTTTCTATCCAAAATTAAAAGAACGAGCAAAAATTATTAAAAAACACAAAGTTCATGATTTGTCGATACATTAAGCTTTTATAATAATAACGTAACATTAATTCCTATCATTGCTTAGAAAAGTCCATCCAAATATTTGTTATCGATAATCCATGTCAATTTAAGCACGCCTCTATAATAAATAAGGGTTAAAAATGAGATATCAAAACTTGATGAATTAAAAGGTACACATTTACCAATGATTGCAAAATATAACCCTTATCACACACATGTTTTAAACCTTAACATGTACTAAATGACATAGATATTACAATCACACCTCCAAGACTAGTCTCTTAATTATTTTCCTAACTAAAGACTTATTAATCATAACAATTAATAAAATAAGTTCATTACCATCAAAACGAACAACGAATATTTATTAGGTTTTGTTGTTGGAACACATCTATTATTTCAATATAAAATTCAAACGACAAGGTGTTATTTGGTTACCGTAAATGAAATGGTGAGAATGAAAATAAAAGTTCTAATCTTACCTTACAGTTGTTTGGTTGAAAAAAAATAAGAGGAAAAATGAATGAAGAATGAAAATAAAAATGATAATTACACATAGTTTCATTCTCATATGGAATGTGAGAATAAAAACAAGCAATGTGAATGATTTTTATAAATAATAATATATAATTTTTTTATTATGTATTAACTACTTCTATCACTATAACCACCACCACCACCATTAGCGAGTGTTGATAAAATAAATTATTATTATTATTCCATCTACCACCTCATCCTTTTTCATTGAAGGCGGTGATAAAAAAAAAAGAGTTAAAATTATTATTATTGTTATTATGTCACCACTCATTCACCACCACCATCACCATTACTTTTTATAATACCACCACTCTTCTTCCGTTGCCATATCCTATGATGATGGTATCAATTTGTTTTAAAATATATTATGATTATTATTATATTGTTATCATTATCACCTTTTCTTCATCCTTCACCACAACACCCATAACCATCACCACTACCACAATAGCCTTTATTATTTTTACTACCATCATAGTTAATGAAATGATTTTTTAATCACTATTTTTTCGTATTAAAAATTAAATATTAAAAAAAATGTAAATTTTATTTCAATTTTTTATTAGCATTTCAAATACGGTATGAGAATATAAATGTCATTCGATTCTCTAATTTTCTTTTAGAGAATATAAATGTCAAATACAATACGAGAATATAAATGTCATTCGGATTCTCTAATTTTCTTTTAGATACTTACATTTTTATTATGGACATTTCATTTCTAATAACCAAACGACACATAAACGGATTGATTCTAATTCAAACGCTTGAAAAACACTATTTTGGTAGAGCTTTTTAATGAATTGCAACTACAACACCAATTCATTTTTTAAAAAAAATTATTAGTTATTATAGTACATAACAAAACAATAACTTTGTCTATATCCATTTGGAAATATAACTTGCAAGCATTAACTATAACTTAATGTAAGTAAAATTTAAGTTCTTATATCTTTTTTGTGTCGCTTCATGACATTAAAGTTGTAGCTAACAAAAATAAAAGCCTTTTTTTCCCTTCATATTGATCATGTAAAGATTCCAATGCGATCTTATTTTTTAATTTGGACTTAGATCCACAAAAATCATTAGCACAAAAATTCATAATATTATATCATGTATGAACCAATTAGAAGCAATAAAATTAAGAACGAGAATGTAAATGTCATTTAGATTTTTTATTTAGATTTTTTATTAGCATTCCAAACACGAGTGTGAGAATGCAAATGTCATTCAGATTCTCTAATTTTCTTTTAGATACTTACATTTTTATTATGAATATTTCATTTCTAATAACCAAACGACACATAAAAGGATTGATTCTAGTTCAAATGATTGAAAAACACTATTTCGGTAGAGCTTTTCAATGAATTGCAACCACAACACAAATTCATTTTAAAAAAATTATTAGAGATTATAGTACATAACAAAACAATAACTTTGTTTATATATGTTTGGAAATATAACTTGCAAGCATTAACTATAACTTAATGTAAGTAATATTTAAGTTCTTATATCTTTTTGTGTCGCTTCATGACGGTAAAATGGTAGCTAACAAAAATAAAAGCCTTTTTTTTCCCTTTACATCGATCATGTAAAGATACCAATGCGATCATATTTTTTAATTGGGACTTAGATCCATAGAAACCATTAGCACAAAAATTCATAATATTATATCATGTATGAACCAAATAGAAGTAATAAAATAAAGAACCAATAGGTTGCATTAACATCCGTACAAGTGACAATATCGTACATATTAGAGAGATAATTACAGTATAAGTATATTAATTTTAACTTTTTCTCAATCGAGTATATAAATTTTAATATTTTTCATTTTAGTACACCAATTTTTTTAAAATTTTCAATTAAATATTTTTATTAATTTTTTCATTAACTAGTGATATGATCGTTATTTTCGAATACCAAATTATAATTTTATAATTTTTTTAATTGAGTAAATGAACTTTAAATTTTTTATTTGAGTACATCAATTTTTTTTAAACTATCAATTAAGTATCTTTATTAATTTTTTTTATTAAGTCGATGACGTGTTCGAACACTAAATTATGATTTTATCCTTTTTTTGTTGAAGGAAACTTTCTTTCAAATTATTTTACCATTTTAAAATTTGATAAATAAATAAATAATATTATTTTTATCTATAAAATTTCAAACTATATTCGATTAGATTCGTTGTTTTAAAAAAAACCGAGTTAGGTTAAAGAGTGAAAATTAAAGAAAAACACAAATGAATTCTTGATGAAAAATCTCACGTTTATGTTTCTTTCAACTTTAATGCTCAATTCTTATATGATTTTTTTAATAGTAACGCTAACTAAATTTATTTTGGAATTTTATAACTACAAAAATGTATTTTTTAATTCTTAGTTAGATTGTAAAATGATAAAATAATTTGAAGAGCAAGTTTCTTACAACAAAAAGAGAGAGAAACAATAATTTGATATTCGGACAAGTTATCAATTAACGAAGAAATTGACGAAAAATATTTGGTTGATAATTTTGAAAAAATTGATGTATTCAAACAAAAAAAATTAAATTAAAATTCATGTACTTCATTGAGAAAAAAAAAGAGCAAAAGTATAATTTAGTGTTCTAAGGATAACAAACATGCCATTAATTGGCAAAAAAATTAACGAAAGTACTCGATTGATAATTAAAAAAAGTTGATGTACTAAAAAAATTTAAAATTTATGTATTTGATTGATAAAAATTTTTTAAATTAATATACTCATAATATAATTGTTCCCAAATAAATTTATTGTCTTTCCTATAAGATCAAAAAAGGTTAGGGGTGAGCAAAGGGTTCGGTTAATCGAAAATCGAATAAAATCGAACCGAATTATGAAATTTGGTTTGGTTTTAAATATAAAATTATATAATATAAAACCAAACCGAAAAAACTGAAATTATTTCGGTTCGATTCAGCTTTTAGAAAAAAATTTTCGATTTCGATCGAAAATCGAAATAAATAGTAAAAAAATTTCGATTTCTAAATCCCTAACTTTTCAATCTTCATTCTTGTTGAAACCGAAACACGTAGATGGGAATTAAATTTTGAGAACCGTTGGGGTAAGAAAAGAAAGTGACATAGTGTAATTAATTGGGATACAACGTGTTTGTATGAGCAAATTTATTACACTTGGACTCGTTTTCATTAAAGTTTAATTAAAATCTTCAAGGGCTTTATGATTGTTTATAAAAAGGATTAATTGATAACAACATGTTACTTCATTGGCTAGTGGACTAAGTGCTAGTACAAAATATCTCTCTGTAATGATTTTTTTTTTTACAACAAAATATCTTGGTTAAAACCGAAATATTTCGAAACCAAACCGAAATAATTCGGTTACAAACCAAATTTACCGAATTTATTTCGGTTTGATTTTGGTTTTTATTTTTTTTTAATTCGGTTAACCAAAAACCGAACCGAATCGTACAAAACCGAACCGTTTAACCGAATGCTCACCCCTAAAAAAGGTGACTTAAGTCGTAAGCTTACATAGGAAAAACCTTTAAAGCCTTTGTTTGGAAGAAGAACATAAGGACATTAGTGTCCTATCATTTTGGAGCGCTATATTGTTATTATTATCACTTCCTCTTCATCATTCACTACCACAACCATAACCATCACCATTACTACAATAACTTTTATTAGTTTTACTACCATTATAGTTGATGAAATTGTTTTTTTATCACTATTCTTATTAGTATTAAAAACCAAATATTAAAAAAAATCTAAATTTTATTTTGATTCTTTATTATTATTTCAAACACAATACAAAAGTACAAATACCATTTAGATTCTTTAATTTTTTTCGAATTCTTACAATTTTTATTGCGGACATTTCGTTAAGCAAACAATACCTAAAAAGATTAGTTCTAATTCAAACAATCGAAAAACACTATTTTGGTAGAGTTTTTTTTAATGAATTGCAACTACAACATAAATTCATTGTCAAAAAAGTTATTAGAAATTATAGTACATAACAAAACAATAACGTTTTTAATAGTTTGGAAATATAACTTAATGTAAGTAATATTTAAGTTCTTATATCTTTTTATGTGGCTTCATGACACTATAGTGGCAATTAACAAAAATAAAAGCCTCTTTTCTACATACCAGATCATGTAGAGATATCAATGCCATCATATTTTTAATTAAGATTAGCAGATCCACAAAACCATTATACAAATTCGTAATATTATATAATGTATGAACCAGGAATGAAGCAATAAAATAAAGAACCAATAAAGAACCATTAGCATCTATACAAGTGACAATATCATACATATTAGAGATAATTACACTATAAGTACATTAATTTTTAGCTTTCCCAATCGAATATATAAATTTAATTTTTCATTTAATTACATCAATTTTTTAAAATTATCAATTAAATATTTTCGTCGGCTTTTTTATTAATTGATAACGTATTTATTATCTTCGGAATACCAAATTATAATTTTATCTTTTTCTTAATCGATTATATGAACTTTAATTTTTTTTGTTTGAGTACATCAATTTTTTTTTAAAACTATCAATTAAGTACTTTCATTAATTTTTTTAAATGATAATGATATTCGAATACTACAAATTATAATTTTTTTGTTGGAAAAATTTTCTTAGGTATTTGCCATTCCTAAAATTTAATCAATAATTAAAAACTACACAATTTTAATATAAAATCAAAATATATTAAGTTAGATTACTACTTTTTTATAAAAAGTTAGGTTAAAGTGAAAATTAAAGAAAACCACATATGAATTATTGATGAAAAATCTTACGTTTGTGTTTCTTTCAACTTTCGAGCCTAATTCTTGAATGATTTTTTTAATAGTCATGCTAACTAAATTTTGTTCAAAATTTTATAACTAAAAAATAATTTTTTTAATTCTTAGTTAAATTTTAAAATGATAGAATAATTTGATGAGCAAGTTTCTACAACAAAAGAAAGAAAGAAAATATAATTAGGTATTTGAACACGTTATCAATTAACGAAGAAATTAACAAAAAAAAAATACTTGGTTGATAATTTTGAAAAAAAAAATAGTGTACTAAAAAGAAAATTAAAATTCATGTACTCATTGAAAAAAAAGACAAAATTATAATTTAGTGTTCGAGGGTAATAGACATGCCATTAATTAGCAAAAAAAAAAACAACGAAAGTACTCGATTGATAATTAAAAAAAATTAGTGTACTAAAAGAAATTGAAATTTATGTATTCGATTGATAAAAGTTAAAAATTAATATATTCATAAGAGAAATTTTATAATATTTAATAGTAATTAGTGGCATGCACGGTAGTTATTCTATAGATCTATTTTTTCCTTTCCTATGAGATAAAAAAAAGGGGACTTAGGATTAAAAAAAATGTAATTGTTCCCAAATAAATTTATTGTCTTCTCGGTAAGATAAAAGAAAAGGAGACTTAAGTCGTAAGCTTATGTATACAGGAAAAACCTCAAAAGCCTTTGTTTGGAAGTAAAGCATAAGGACATTAGTGTTCCATCACTTTGGAGCCCTTTCTAATATTCGTAATTTTTTTCAAAAAATAAATAATATAATGACTAATTAATCTGTTTTCATTTAATTTTTTAATCATATTAGCCTATCTGCAAAATATACAAAACGGAGTTTTTTCTTTTTAGTCATACTAACCTATCTACATTTGTTTCCTATTGAAAAAGCATATGAATTTTTCCTACCTATAAATAAATCTTATCGCACGATCTAATGGCTCAACAAAAAAATAAAGAAAATAATGTACGAAATTCAAAATAAACATGGAAATGTTGGTTATAAGTGGAGAAAAAAAAATCCTAACCATCGAGCCTAGATCATTTTCGCATTTTCTTCTTTTCGAACCACTGTCGACCTCGAATTGATACAACTTTGAGGTTTCTTTTTAAGCTAATTTGTTTTTCAAAGAGTCTCCTGTTTCCTAGCCACCCTCGAAGCCGCTTGGTTGGCTCCGATATGGAAGCACAACTTCCTTGGTCAATGACAGGCAATTTGGATTGATTGATATTTTTTTTTCAGCAATAAAAAATATTTTTGGATTAACTTTTATACATATCGAGGTTAATTTTATTTTTATTTTGACATGATTAAAAAATACTTTTCAACATATAATTTTGAATATTTTAAGAATAAATTAGGTATTTTCTTTGTATAATTATAGTGTATGTACGTGTGTTTCTCACTTGCTACGGCAATAATTACAAAAACTATAGTGAGTTTATCTTACCAATTTACTTATCATTTCCTTTGCTGACATTTTCATAGTTCACTTTCAATCCAATCTTCTAGTTTATAAAGAGAAGATTCAGAATTTCGTTTCATTTTCTGAGAAACATAAACGTCATGTTTTCTATCAAAGGAGCTTGATTAGTTGGGCTTACGGGTGAAATGATTGAGAATCTCTTTTCATTAAAATTAGGAGAAAAGAGGCTTTACAATGAGATTAGTAATTCACTAACGGGTAAATTTAATATTAACTAGTTATGCTTATAATTCCTTTATAGATCTTAAAATTAATCAATTTCACGAATAGTGATTTCAATTATTTCATCTTCTTTTAAATTCCGTACGCATCATGCTAGTTTGAAATAAATTTGGTGATGAATAAGATGAACAACCTTAATTTGGGTGATTACTAGTTTACCACCTCAAGTCGTCAAAAGTAAATGGCTCAATCATGTGGTCAAACTTTGTGCAAATTCAACGGGATAAAAGAGCAAAATTAGGAAAATGAAACTTTCCTGCTACCATAATTAGGCTTCATAGAAACTTCAGTCAAGGCAAACTATATATATGTGGACATCATTACCCTCCCAAATCCCTTAAATTTGATGTAATCTGGACTCTGGAGTTCTAAACAGGCATCCTCATCAAAAGTTGGCCTTGCATGAAACTGCGATAAAAAAAAAAAAAAAAAAAAAAAACAATAGAGAAAAACGTTACAACCGCTTAATCGATAGATTGTAGAAGCTGAAACAATGTCTAGATGTCAGTGAAAGATTCAATCACCTCTTGACGTAGTAGTAACAGAAATCGGCCAAGATAAATGTCTGCACAACTTCAGCTAGGAGAGCCATAGGAAACCAGAAGTAGCCACTTCCAAGCAAGAATAGATAAGTCCCACCAGTCTCATAAACCTACATGCAAAATAACAATCATGCGTGTGTTTTATCAATTGCCCCCCTAATTTGAGAGAAGTTTGAATAGGAACACTTGATTGATAGTTTCGAAAAAATTGATATACTAAAACAATAAAAATTAAAATCTATGTATTTGATTTAAAAAAATTGATGCACTTACAATGCAATTATTCCAATTAAAATCTGTACAAAATCGTATAAAACTTTAGCATAAATAGACTTCCTAAATTACCCGTAACTTAGATAATGCCTTTACTAAAACTTTATTTTGACAATCAAAATTTTAAAAATACTTGAAATACCAATAAATATCATAAACTTCAAAATTCCAAAAGAACTTTGATTGTCCTCTCATGTCGCTATTGACAAAAATGACCTTATAAGTTTTGTCATTCTCTTTGACAAAATATCTTTCAGAGAAAAAAAAATTGAATTTAATGTAGCAAAATTCTAGCTGCTTTTAAATATTGGAAAATAAAAAAAAGCTGAAAAAAATATCCGCAGTGAATTTCTAGATGCTTTTTTGTTTACCATTTTTTTAATTTTCATTTATTAAAATCTGATAACAAAAAATTGGCACATGTAGCTATCTTGTTGAGCTAATGGTTTAACACTATTAGTCCAAAATATTAACGGAAAGACACGATTAAGATTATAACCAAACTTTGAGAGAGTTTAATTTAAGACAAAAAAAAAAAAAAGAAGAAATAGAAGAACATGATCAAGACGAAATAAAGAGTAGGGTGAATCCTACAACGATTAACTCATTTAAAAATATACCAGTGCAAAAACATAGTTATGCATTTCAACTTGTCAAGTGCCACTATACACAATCCTCTTGAAGTTATGCACATGTAAAGTATCTTGTGATTCTGATTGAATATATATGCTTCATAATACTAACAAAAAGAACAGAACGAACCTGAAAGATCCAGTGAGCACATGCCAAGAACCTAGCAACACCCAGTGCAAATACATAATGGGCTGTAAATGGTTCAATCATCTGAGGAAAAAAAAAGAGGTCGAGTGAACAAATTAGCATAGTCGTTGCAACCAAAAGATCAACATCTACAGCAAAAAACGATCCAAAACCTTGGCATTCTGCATGAGACGAAGTTGAGGCAGCACGGAAACAGATTCCAAGTACACACAAAAAGCCCAAAGGATTTGGCTCACATAAGCATGTCTTGTATAGGGGTTGATCAGGAAGGCAAGGACAGCACAAGGCACCACCTGTAGTAAAGATTGAAGAAAAATTAATGCAAAGATGAATCAATTGTTACCATATTCTATCAACAATTGAGGATATGTAAATCGAAGGTTTAAAAATATATCTATAAATTAAACAAGAAATATATATATTAGATAGCAAGAACCATAGATTATTGGGAATTAGCAAGGCACGAGCAACCAATGACCACTCATGGAATGTGCGCATACACTGAAATATTTAATTTATTTACTCATAATGGCTCCCACATATATTCGAAAGACTAAGAATTAATATACAAATATTCATTTTGAATTTACAAGGCATCAGTACATATATTTTAATGTTCTTACCAAGTAGTATAAAGGCATGTTGTCCAATTCTTTGATATAGGTTGACTTCAACTTGAACCGCATCATGTATATAACCCAACCGGTTGAAATCAAGGTGGCAAGGTCTAGCACCGTATGGACGTCAAGTTCCATCAGTAGGCTACAGACCAATCTGGCAGCTAAAAACAGAGCTGTGATTTCTTGAGATTTGAGTGAGAGGCCTGTCCAAGGCAACAATAACATATATAGTCATTAGAACTGTTTTAGACCATAAAATATGGCAAAATGGCTTTTGATGCATAAAAGTAAATGCCTAAATAAGCAAGCATTTTGCATTCGCCACTAACAATTTCTTTCTAGACATATGAACTAGGACATAAATTTACAATTTGGACCACCAAGGATAGATTATAATCGAAATGAAAAAGATATAAAGAACTATCAAAAAGCTTGTAGCTCAGTGATAGTAATTTTTTTTATCAAGAAATCACGGATTTAAATCCTAATAAATTAGTTCTACTAATATCTTTGGGCTTGTGAATTTTAAAAAAAAAAATACAAAGAAATTCATTTTTAAATAGAACCCAATTACATTAATAAGGGAAAGAAACAAAAAAAATCAAGGACCAAAATATAGCATGTCATCAATTGCATGCATTAATTAAAAAAAAAAACGTAAAAATCATTATAAAAAAAAAAAAGGGAAGAAGAAGAAGAAGAAGTGCAAAAACTCTTGTCTCCACATATAGGACTCATCATTATCTCATTTGATCGAAACATATGATCGATCATTGCGAGAAAAAATGTAAACGCCATATGAAATCTGTCAACCTCTGTTTCGCCTTTGTTTCATGTGTCCGAATGGCAACTGAAATCACCATTATGACATCATTACAGAAATCTTTTAAAAAATTTATCAGAAAGGCATATTTAAGATTCCAAAGAGCTCAGAAAATAGCGTATTCTTGAACATCTCATCTGAAAAATGACCTTAAATATTAAATATTCATCTATTTGTCCGTAAGACCATTTTTTTTTTTAATGATATTAGAAGGGCGACCCCAAAACCATCCAGTAGAAACGATAGCCAGCAAGCACAGTAAAATTTATCAAGAAAATGCTAGATCATAAAATTCAAAAAAAAAAAATTTTTTTTTAATGATTTTGACCCAAAAAAGGAAAAAAAAGAAAAAAAGACAGGTGGTGGTTAAATATATACCGGAGCAGGTTTTTTGGGTGGCGAGCTTATATATCAAGACCAAGATCCCAGCAGCATGGATAGCCTCAGAAAAAATGAAGAAATAGTTTCGATCTTTCACCAAGAACTTTAAAGCCACCAAACAGCACAGTGCAATCGTTACTCCAAGAAATGTCTTTACTTTCACTGACTGCCTCCTTACCCACCCAAACAGCACGTTGACAGGTGAAGTTCGCTTCCTCCCCATGATTCTTTTTCTATCAATTCTTCTTAATTCACTGAGAACATGAGAGAGGAAAGCCCACAGATGGAGATTTGTTAGAGAACGAAACAAATTTGCAGTATATGTGTTGAGGGAGAGACTGAGGAGACTCAGAGAGGTGTTTTGGAAAGACACGAAGAAGGCATGCATTTGGCTTGGTGTATTATGTGGCATTTATTATATTTCCATGATGAAACCCAATGAAGTCCTGACACGTGGATTTGATTTGAAAAAACTAGATGCTACAATATCCCGAGGGTTTTGCTTGCTTGCCTGTTTGGGACATCTGATTTTGACATCTGATTTCGATTTTTTATACCATATTTTGATTATATATATATATATATATATATATATATATAGAGAGAGAGAGAGAGAGAGAGAGAGAGAGAGAGAGAGCATGAATATTCTCCCTTCCTTAATAATTAGATTATCTTTCCTTAATAAAAACGAACTCTGCGTTTTATGGAGTTAATTATTACTGCCACGTTTTATTTTGGGTGTCTTTTTATGTTGTAATTTATGTTTCTAAAAATTTACATTTTCTATTTAATATTTTTCTTGTGATTACACTTTTTACCTTATATAAAAATTTTATTAATTTACCATTAAATAAAAAATTTGAGTTGATTTTTTATCAAAATAATATAAAATAACTGAACAACTCAGATAACGAATGTCTATATTAATAGACAAGTAAAATGTCTATTTAGTATTGAAAAAAATTAGTCCGAAAAATCTTTTATTTTGATATCAGTAAGAAAAATTAAGCAAAATGTGTTGCTTTCATTTGTAAGTAAAGTATACATATATTTTTTTAAAATTTATTACAAAAACATATTGAAGAACAATGACATGAATTTTCAAAAACCATAAGCTTTTCTTTCAAAAAAAAAAAAAAAAAAACAGAGAGAGAGACTTGGTTGTATGAGTTCCGAAAAAAAAAAACATAGATTTTCCTTTCAAAAGAGGGAAGGTAATCAATAAAATGAGTGTGATACTTTCTATCTTTTTTAAAAAAAACATGAACATTTTTTTTTAAAAAAATTCAAATAAAAAAATTAACTCCGCTAATTTTAAGGTGAAAATTATAAATTTTTTTTTAAAAATCATGATGCAAAGTGTAATTGTATTCAAAGCAAAAGATGATGGAGGTAATTAACTTTCATTTTATACACATGTGAAGAACCACAATATATATATATATATATATATATATATATATATATATATATATATATATATATATATATTAGTTTTATCCAATCTATTTATTGGAAGATTCAACCCCTTCGAAATTATTAGGAAAGTAAAATTTATGTGATTAAGTACTGTTTAAATTTCAAATAAAACAAGGACTTTATTGCTCTTTTTGTTTCCAATTTATTCAATTGTTTATTCTTTCCTTCAAAATGCTTTAGGTTAATTAGCTCAATTTGTTTTTATATTTTATGTTTAGTTTCTAATTTATCCTTACAATTCTAATTTCTCTCAATTTGTAAATAATATATGATTATTCTTCAATCTATCATTATATTAGATATTCTTATCCGAACTGACGAAAATTTGCTCATGTGAGAGACTTAAACCTAATCTATTTTTTAAAAATATTTATGAAGAAAATAAATTTTAACACAATATAACAATTCATTATTTTTTTCAAATTTATATTCCTTAACAAATTAGGTGGAGTTGAGGTTGTCAAGTCAGAGTATTTCAGTTAGTTCGAATAAAAAGAGATTGGAGAATGAGCTAAAATATAATGACGCAATGTTGTTTTTATTTATTTATTTTGGATAAGTCAGTGGACCAATATTATTAACACCAAAAAAAATTCAAGAGAGTAACATAAGGGTGCTGCAGAAAAGGAGCAGCAGTATATATGGGATCAAGAGAACAAACATGCATGATGATGATGATAAAACAAAATAAAGTCCAAGGCAAACACATGGAGTTCACATGGAGCCTAAAGACCAATTCAGGAAGGATCAATTTGATGTAGAACATTTTATTTGGTAATATATATCATTTTTTTCTCCATTACTTGCCAAATTATCTTTCTTATATTCACAAAATATATATAATTTTTTATCCACTACTTTCCAACTTACCTTTCTTATATATATATATATACCAAATTATCTTTTTTATATTCGCAAAATATATATAAAATTTTTTATCCATTACTTGCCAAATTACCTTTCTTATATAAGTGTGTGTGAATATAGAAAGGTAATTTGGCAAGTAATGGAGGGTAATATTTGACTCAATCACAACATTAATTTTATCAAAAATGAAAGGTTGAAGATTTGTGTAAAACAAAGGCTCGGTGAATTACATTAAATATCCTGTGGTTTAAGTGTAGAAACACTTTATACCTAATTTTTTATATGTCATACTATACTATTTATAATTTGTTAAATCGTTTCACTTTAACCCCCAATATTTTAAATCTATTTACAAACATTAGTTTCATTAATTTTTTTTTTAAAGTTTTATTATATTAAAAAATCAAAAACTTTATATGTTTTAATTAGCTTTAATCATATTAGTACTTTCTTCAATGTTGGATAGAATAGAATATGAACCAAAATTTTAGTAACTATATGACTACAAATGAATTTTTCAGGACTAAATTTACTTGTAGAATTTCACGTGAATTATTTGAGAAATTATCTACGCATTTTTTAACTATGTGTCATTCGTTCCATATGATGAAGAAATTGAACTCTGTAGCTCGAGAGTTGGGAAACTTAGGCAGACAGACCCCCACTTCTTGACAAGATTTGCAATCGAACAACATCCTTGGTCGGTAAAAAAGAAAGGATGTGGTGAATGATAGGATCTGGCAGAACATGTGTAATTCTAGCAAGCTCTTCTAGTGCTACAGCTTCTTCTTCTTCATGGATTCTCTTCTTAGATGTGCCTATATCATAGTTTTTCATTGCTGAGACAGTGTTGATTGTCTGTAAATAAGCTTTGTTTAAGTGAAAAAAGGCACTGTCACTTTTTTTCCCTTGGAATTCACGCCCCTGGCCAGATGCACTGCTGGTTTTGTTGTCCAGTATTTGTTGATGATAAAAGCTATCTAATGATCACCTCATTTTTTAAAGAATTTGTAGTTAAATGATTATATCTCAGCTAGCAAACTTTTTAAGTGTCATTGTCAAATAATCCCAAGTGGTGTATTTGTACAACTGTTCCATGCAAGGAAAGCCATTTGTGTCTGATCTTTTCCTTTTTAAGTGTTTTCTAATTAATGAGTATTGTGACCCTAACACTTAACTTTTTGGTGAAGGTTGGAGGCAGTACGATATACGAAACTTTACACCCAAGTGATTTCGGGGACAAGAAAAAGAAATGTTACGGATTTTACAACGAGAATAAAGAAGGATTGTGGAATTTTCAATGGGCTTTGGAAGGGAATAAATGACATTTAGTTAAAAAATGAATAATTAATTTCTCAAATAAATCACATAAAATTCAGCGTGACAAATTTAATCAAGTTGTTATACACTCACGCCACGTCAGATTAAAATAGAAGTTAAGTTGGAAACGTTCACTTGTATTAATATGATCACCAAAAATTTAGTTTATGTCTTTTATGTCCGATCTTAAAAAACATACTAATATGATTAAAATATGTAAATTTTGTGATTTTCTGTACAATAAACCTTAAAAAAATAACATACAAATTATTATAAATTTGCAATTGATCACTTGTTATATAATTATTTTATGACCAAAGTTCCTTCGCTACCACGAGCTAGACAATGTGTCATTCTCTTAGACATATGACGTGTAGTTGGATTCCATGAAGAAATAAGAATGAAAATAAGAGATAACCGTATTGGTCTTTAAGATTATAACAGTTCTTTTTTTTTTTTTTTCCTTCGAGTATTCTCATTTCACATTAGAGTTAAAACTAATCATATTTGAGATGAAAACGATAGATTATAACCCTTTTTAAAAAGTGTGACTCTTAGATTTGAACTCTATACATTAGCAAAAAATTCGTTTAGAGACTAGTTCATTTATCGATGGACCAACAAGTTACAACGACTTGATTAAGATCCGGATATGAAACAAAATGTAGCAGCAATTATTCTTACTTGCAACGATCGGTAGGCATGAGGGACCATCAATGTAGACAAAGGCAACATTATAAAATGGGTTTTAGATGCTACCAAACGACTTGGATAAAAGAAAATGATAAACATTGAATCTAATTGAAATATATAAGATCCGTCAATACATATAATGTAGATAGAGGTAGGTTCATTTAGAATAAAAGTTAATAGTCCTCGTGCAAAGATCAAGGCAAGCCTTAAACGTATCTAACACCACCACTACTAACAACTCTCTTCTACCTCTCCACAAACAAAAGCTAACCCATTATCCTCTATTCCTTGTGCAAATATTGGAGGTCGGGATCTAAATATGTCATTATTTCTTTTTTCTATGGGCACCACACATTCTAAACTTATCCTAATGTACTTACTCATCTTACGACATCAATTGAAGGCCTCTATCATAAATATTGCACCATATTTATCGGTTAGCAATAAATCTAATTATGACACTTACCATCTCATTGGTTGTTAGATTCACAATGAACTTGTTGTTAATGAGGTAAGGCCACTCTAACTCTTATGATTACTTTTGTATTTGGAAATTTCAAAAGGGCTATTGCTATTCTTGTTATTGTGATGGCCAAAAAATATAAAGGTTACAAACCATCATATCTTAAAACCCGGGATAGTATTTCGACTTCATGGTAAAAGCCCTCGAGCATAGTTAGGCACAAAGACCTATCTATCAATCTACAAGTAAAAACCTTGTGATCTTTCAAATTCCCCTTCTTATTTGTAAAATCCTCCACTAGTTAGACTCGTTGTAGAAAATAACTCTTGATAATTTATAGAGAGAGGAAAGAAATCAAAAGACTCACTAAGAACATCATTTAGATAAACAATATGTATAGCTAATAGCTTCTCCATTTGTCACGATGACAAAACCACTTACTTGTCTCTCAATATGACTTGTCTCAACCAATATTTTGTGCTTCACGGTGGCTATACATTATGCAATTGCAAACAAGTTAGGGCCATGGATTTTAGGGATGATAGCCTAAACTTATTGTTTAAAGCATTCTTTTTACACCATTAAAGCCAACATAATTAACCTCACTTTCAATAAATCAAAGTTAGCTTCATCAACCTCATCGTAAATTAGTGGTTAGTTCAAATTGATAAGAAAATCAAAATTTTTGCATGTACCAAGTTCAAAGAGATCCTTCTTCCGATGTTGCGACCTCTATAACCTCAATATACTTAAAACTTAAAACTTCATCATATATCTTGTGACTTTCCTCGTCAAATTTTGGAAAAAACTAGAATCATCAAAAAATTCAACTTCAAAATCATCTTTTTGTTACTTGGAAATTTTCTTTTTGGGTTTCGGATGAAAATAGATCAAGTTGCCGTTGATCCATTCAAGTTTCTCCCAAATTAGTCGTAACTCCTTTCTTTTATTATAAGATAAATTATTGCGATTTGGTTGGTTTCTTGGAGGTATTTTTACAAATGTTGTTAAGAATACACAACGAAAGCAAACCAAAGCTTTGATGCCAAGTTGACATCGAATTTATGAAGACAAATATTCAAGATATAAATTTAAAATCATAAAAATCCGAATCTATGTTCAATAAATAAACCCTAGTTTTAGTAGATTTTGATGAGGTTGAAAATTCCTCTATAGTTTAAACGCATAATCAACAAAAGTAAACATTGTTTTAGTTATTTTGGCTAGGTTAAAATCCCACTATAATCTTAGCTAATAATGATCAATAACCCCACACTATAAGAAATTCACTAAATAACAATGGATTTCGGTGACAAATGTTAAATCATTGCTAAATAGTGATTAAATAGCATTAGATTAATGTGTGTTACCTTTAACGATATAAGAAAGATCGATTTACGACTAATTATCAGCAATGGATCAATTTTCATTGCTAAATATGATACCAAAACTATCTAAGAGTTTTAGCAATAGATTAGAGACAAATTAGATATAGAAAATAACAACGGGATATAAATCTCGTCGTTAATTTTTTTTAGCTTTTAGCGGTGGCTAAGCCATCGCTAAGAGGTAGCTATTTAGTGACAAGAATACTCTCATTGCTAAACGAGTGAATTTTGAAGGTCGCGTTCAACGTCACTATTTAGTGATGGATACTAATATCGATTGCTAAATAACGATGGATCGAGCAATGGAAACATTCCAATCGCCGATTTCGTCGCCTTTTAAATCCAAGCAGTAGCCCCTCCCCTCTCATTTTCCCCCATTTCTCTTCCTCCTCAAGCTACTCGTCCCTCCCTATCCCCTCAAAACCTCCACAAAACTCCCTTAACCTACTCTCATCAATCCACACTTTCTTCAAACTCGTTTCACCAAAAAAATTCTATATTTTCTTCATTCACTTCGGCTAATTTCACTCGAATTAGGTAATTTTTTTATCTCTTTTATTTTCTTAATTAAATTTAGTAATTTTTTTGTAATTTTTAGGTTAATTTTATGTATAATTACTTGATTTATAATTATGTATGTATTTAATTATTATTTTATTGATTTATTTGTTAAATTGTTATTTTTTGTTAATTTGCTGAATTTTATTAATTTTTAAGTTAATTTGATAGTTAAATATAATTTAAATTTTAATTAGAAATAATTTATAATTAATTGAGTTTATTTTATTCATGTTTTGTTAATTAATTAGGTTAATTATGTTTAATTGGTTGAATTAGAATAAATTTGTTAATTAATTGTTTAATTTTGCTCAATTAAGTTAACTTAATTGTTATTTTAAATTTAATTTGGTGAGAATTAGAATTAATTAAGTTAATTTGATTTATGTTTAGTTAATTAATTAGGTTAATTATGTTTAACTAGTTGGATTAGAATAAATTTGTTAATTAAATGTAATTTTTTTTAATTAAGTTGATTTAATTGTTATTTTATATTTAATTTGGTTATAATTAGAATAAATTATTTAGTTAATTAATTAATTAGGCTAATTATGTTTAATTGATTGGATTAGAATAAATTTGTTAATTACTTATGTTTTTGTTAACTATATGTAATATTTTTGTTAATTAAGTTAATTTGATTTATGTTTAGTTAATTAACTAATTTTTTTAATTTTTTTAATTGGTTGAATTATATATATATATTAAATTTTTTTTAATTTATTGTTAATTAATTAGGCTAATTATGCTTAATTGATTGAATTATAAAATTATTTATATTAAAACTTATCAATTTATTATTATTTTAAATTTAGTTTGGTTAGAATCAAAATTAATTAAGTTAACTTAATTTATATTTAATTATTTAATTAGGTTAATTATGTTTTATTGGTTGAATTATAGCTTTATTTATATTAAAACTTGTTAATTTATTGTTATTTTAAATTTAATTTGGTAAGAATTAGGATTATCAGAATTAATTAAGTTAACTTGATTTTTAATTAATTAATTAATTAGGTTAATTATGTTTAATTGGGTGAAGTTATAACTTTATTTATATTAAAAATTTTAATTTATTGTTATTTTAAATTTGATTTGGCAAGAATTAGAATTAATTAATTTAACTTGATTTTTATTTATTTAATTAATTAGGTTAATTATGTTTAATTTATTGAATTATAACTTTATTTGTAATAATACTTGTTAATTTATTGTTATTTTAAACTTAATTAGGTTAAAATTAGAATTAATTATTTTAATTATTTCGTATACAATTATTGAAGTGGGTTGAGATACGTAGTAGTGTCTCGTCAAAAACCCTTGGGATTTGAGGGAAAATAAGGTTAGTTCAATACTTTGTGATGAAGCTGAAAGGATGAGTTTGTGATTTAATTTCAATAGAGTATTCGAGACAATTGTTGATTTTGTTGTGCGTAATATTTGTGTGATCATTTAGAGTATTTATTAATTAAGAAAGGTGCAATTTATATGGAAGACTCGCAAAAATTTTATTAGATATTTAGGAAAATTAATAATTAAATAATTTTGTTATGCCCTGGAAATACGAAACAAAATAATGAGGTCCGATCGTGAATGGATGTATGTTAGGTGTATCGATTGGTACTTATATGGTGATTTCATGAATGGGGTTGAAGAATTTTTTGAATTTGTTGTTTCTTATCCTGAATGTATGGATGGAAGAAGGTTAAGGTGTCCTTGCAATTATCGTAAGTGTCAAAATCAAAATTTTGAAGAGATTGTCCTAGTTAAATAACATTTAGTGAGATACGATTTTGTGCTTAGATATTATAACTAGTTTTGTAATACCTTGCATATTCTAGACTTATTTGTGAGTTTTAATAATTGTCCATATAACTCTTGCCAATGGAATTAAATGTTCATGTGATCACTCCTAATCTTCTTGCTTGCTTGGCATGACACTCTTTTTTTCACTAATAAATTCCTTCGGTGTTCCCTAACCGGGTCGGGGAAAGGTTTTCGTATTTTTCCTTACCTTATCCTAGATATTCTTGCTACCTTGCTATTTTTCCTTAATGAGGATCGCATCGACAAGAGTAATTTATCGAATTTGGACTGCAAAGAAGATAATAAGAATACAATTGCAATTGCTCCTTGTAAACCTTTTTTAAATTATATTCAGATTTCAAACCATGAAGACGATTTCGAGATGTTTATTGGCATGTTCCTCATGTTGTATAGAAAATGTATCATAAATATAACATGCAAACATCTCACAAGGCTATGCAAACTTGCTCTATTGCATACCTCTTCATGATAGAACATAATATTTTAAGAATAGAAGCCGTAAGGAACCATGAATTCTCTATTGAGAATGGAAGCAATGTTAACTTGAAACCCTTAGGATCTTTATCCTACTTGTACAATACAAAGCAAGTTTACTCAATAAGCATACCATCCCATGAAGGAGTATCAAATATAAGGTTTTTGGCCGATACAAGAACCATATCTCCTGAAAGATAAATAGATTACTTGAAAAGCGAGTATGTCCTAGCCTTCTTGCATATCTTAATGACGAGGTCCAATAAGCCAATCCATTAGGCCAAAGGGTTTTAGATAAAAGGGAGCATATCTTAATGCGAGGCTTGAATCTTATTTAATCCACTACTAAAAATTGGAGGGGAAAGAAAAAGCAAAGTAGAATGACAAAACATTCACATATATTGATATGAAAAAAAGGGTCAACTAAGTTCATTTACATATTGGCAAGCGAGTTCACATTTCAACCCACACACACAAACCCTATCGATTTTCACCCACCGTACTATTAGGCTAAGGATACCATTACACTAAATGCAACTATTTTAATCGAGTTTGATGAATCTAAATCCTTATGTACAATTGCATCTTCTTTCTTCTTTGCATCACCTTGCTTGAATGCCTTCGAGATCTCATCAATTAGAACCATATATAGGTATCGAAACACCGCATAACCACCTCCGGTTCATATCCTTGACAAAATGGTTGTACTTTTGTGACAAATTCATAGTTGCATGAACATCCACCTCTCCAACTCTGTGGATAGAAGGATACCGGTTGAGTTTAACCCACACTTTCACGAGATTCAATGAGGAATAAATGCTTAGACTCGTAGCTATATAATGAACAACATGTATGGTCCTCTAACTTGAAATTCATTTGCAAGCACATTCACTTTTTCGACATAATTTCGATCAAAAAGCATGCTTGGCTCATAACTTGCTTAGTAGCCGAAGGACCATACTTATCAAACTTAATTTTTGCTTCATCTACCTACAACAATCAAATATAGGGTGATCTCATGATCGAGAGGAGATCTAAATGCAAATCATATGGCTCCGTCTTTCGATCAAGATTTAATTAGGATATATGTGGGTTTTTCTTTCTTTCTTTTTTCAACAATCGAGAAAAAATGATGTAGATAAAAAAAATTTGATATGGAAAAAAGGGCCTTTATTTAAGAATTAATTTTAAAAGTATCATGTTTAAGAAATAAAGATTTAAAAATATATTGTTTTGGGAAAAAAACTCTTATAATATGCACTTCGAGGTGACACTTTAGTCTAAATGTCGACATAGGCATGGAATAACTACTAAAATTATGTTTTCTAGAGTGCATATACACCGTCATGCTTATTAACTAATAATCATTAAAGTCAAATTGAATGAATATATTTAGTGTATGATAAAATAATAAAAGCTTAACTCATTATATTATTTTTTTCACCTAATCAAAATCATTACATTCAAAACCAATGGTGAACGAGATTATCCCAATCCAATAATTAATATGTTACCATTTGCCAAATCGAGTTATATAGAGTTTAATATGGATTGCATAGAACATGATTTATCATTTTTTTAAATTTAAATCTCTTAAAATAAATAAATAGTTAAGATTCTAGTAGCTAATATTTACTTAATTGAACACTAAGATTAAGATTTTTAAATTAATACTTGTTCACTACAACATATAAAGCTTTATGCGGTGGTTGAACACCGCTACAAAAAAACATACAACCCCCGCATTACCTCTTTTGCAACGGTTTACTAGCCACCGCATCCGAACGACGCCGCAATAGGTTAATGCGACGGTTTCTATATTCTCTTGCAATGGAACACGTACTTGTTGCATAAAACCCTTCAATTGCAGCGAGTTTCTTTGGTATTTTATACGGTGGTTTGCCGAAGGACAAGGCAACGGCTTTGGTCAAAACTGTTGCAGCGGTTAATGTATCATATGTAATGGTTATTGTCATATTTCATATAGCGGTTGAGATCATCTAATGCAACGATTTTCATGAAATATTATGCTGAAGTTTAATTATATAATGCAACGATTTTCCTATAATGCTATGCAGCGATTAAAATCATATAATGCAATGGTTAAGTGACATAGTATGCAGCGGTTAAAATCATCTAATGCAACGATCGACGTGATACATTATGCAACGGTTTTTTTATTGGCGTAGTTTTTCGTTACATTATGCAGCAATTTTGTTGTTTTTATGCAACGGTTTGCGATATAGAAATTAATCCTCTTTATATGTAATGCAACGGTATTTAATAATATTTAATGCAATAATTTGTAATATTATTGCAATTGATTTTTTTTCAATGGCAATAAATATTTAATCAAATGTAATGATTATGATGTATTTATAATTATTTTGTAAAAATAATTCCAAATATTAATCAATTAATTAATAACGAGAAAATTAATAATCTAAGAAGTTTGTTACCATAATTGTAATAATTAAGTAACCTATTACAAGAAACATAATAATCCAAATATCTAAACATCATTGAAAAACATAACAAAATATCAATATTAAAAAAAAAACGAGTTCAAAGTTCGTACTAGACAAAGTTAATAGTCGATTTCCAACTTCAAGTAGTTGAAAACACTTAGCAACCCGCAATTTTAGGGGAAAAAAAGATTAATTAACAATGAAATATAGTAATTACAATAATTAAACTTGTGTTTTTTATCAAATAACGGATATTAAAATAAGTAGTACTTAAAGATTATGATTGCTACCCGATAAAGGTGAAATTCTTATTTGATTCCCTATACTTGGTGCGCTATTAGCATCTCCCGGGGATCATGTAGTTATAAACAATGTCTTGAACATCTCAAGATTCACATTTAGACTTGGATTCAAACCTTGGAGCCGTGTTAGGATCGATAACATTATTTCTTAATGCAAAGTAGCTTTATGCTCTTCTAGCTTTTCTTTCATTTTTGTTTTCATTTCCTGTGTAATTTCTTGTCGCACCTTTTTTTCTACATATATTTTTATGGCATTTAATACATCTTTAGGAATTTTCATGGATGATTGATCAAGGTTTGCTTTGCCTCTTAAATCGGATGGTGTGACGACCCTCCCATATAACATAACACGTCCGAGTCGCATCCCGGCTCCCATCACCGTAGAAAATGCATCAACAAATTGACCACATTCACTTGAATGTTAAGACTCCACTTCTAGCATTTGAGCCTACAATGGAATCATAAGTTCCTTAAAAATGTAGTTCACACAGTACATGATAAAGTAATATTTTTTTTTATATAAATTATAAAAATAAGGAAATAAAATACCGAAAGTTCTTATAATCTTCATAACCGTATCCTCATCCGATTTCTTATAAGAATGTCTAATTTTTCTTTTTTGAGTTTCAATAAACATTTCGGAATGGGTTGGTGCTTCCTTATTTTCCTTTGCAACTTGCTCGCTTATTATAAAACAGATTTTAGCCATAACAAATTGAATGAAGATAAAATATCATGAATCGGTGATTACAACCCTTAATAGAGTTCCAATAAACATAATTGTAGCATGTTCGCCAACACGCCAGTCGCGGTTGCCTACCTCGATTTTGCCAGCTTTGCTTGCACACTATACAACCCCTTTAGCACTTGAAACACACCCCAAAATACCCCAAAACCAGACCCGAAACACACAATCAAAGCCCCCAAAAGCGGACCCAAAACCCACTAAAAACCCTCAAAAATCAACGTGCAACTATTACCAACAGACCTCCAAAGACAAAAAAAGAAAGAGCCTCTTATGAGGTTCATGTAATAAACTTTAAACTAGCTTTATCAATGATACTTAGTAGCCTTAGTAACTCTCAAAATTCTACTTATCCATTGTATTAAATTTCTTAATGGTGCATATTTTTTATTTAAAAAAAAGATAACATCAAATTTAGTAAGAAATTTAACAAGAATATTTAGAAGTGAAAAAAAAAACAAAGTATCGATTCTTACCAATTTCTTTCCTATCCTAGCGAAGCTCCTTTTACCCGTTGTGTGCATATTCCTTTGTCGTTTGCGATTTTCAATATTTATCTCTCGTCATCATCTACATAATAATTTTAATTAATAGCATTAGTATAAACTTTGATGATATAAACAAAATTGAGTCATAGTCTTATAGCTTGGCATTATCTCGAATTTCAATACTTCAACAATTCTCTAAACTTATCCTTTGGAATGTGTTTGGACGATTTAGCATTCTAAGTTTATCCGTTTTATACTTGTAATAGTGATCATTCTTTAATTGGCATTTGTACAACCTCCAATTATCTCCTATTGTAGCCAAAACCCATTTCTTACCTTCGGAAGGAACTATGTATTTTTTCTACATTAAAAATAAAATGATGGGGTTCATCAGTTTATTCTTGAATTATTTACATGTATTAGATAGAAAATTATGCCAATACAAAGAGAGAAATAGAAAGACATAAAGCTAAATTACTTACTAGAACATATTCCCATAACGCTTCCTTAGTAGGTATCTTGTGCCAATTAACGTGATTCAATGGTGCGAGACTTCCATTTCGGGCCAATGTTCCTAAAAAGCTACTAAACTCATTCAAAGTCTTATTATAACCCCGATGAAATTTATATACATGTTTAAAATTAATAGTATGAATGGGTTCAAAAGAGACTTTACAATAATGGTATATTCGACGATTACGTTGGAAATAATGGGAGGAAAAATTTTAAAAAATATAGGTAATTATCCTTTGGGTTGTTTCTAAGTATTTGGAATTTGGAATAATGATAAAAAAATTATTTTAAAATTTTAGAAAAATTGAGATTTAATTTGGGAAAAGTTTTGAATTGATTAAAAGAAATTTTCGAAATTTAGAGCTAGATTCTGTCCAAATCTTGCGAGATTTATTTGAGGACTTTAGGGTGATTTTTGGGTAAAACTTAAAGAATAAAAGTTGTTCTTCTATGTGTCTAATATCTCTCTGTAACAATGCATGATTTTTAGACCTATATAGAAAATGTTATGCCCATTTTAGTATAGACTGTTTAGAAAGTAACCTCGCTGGAAAATGTTTGGGAAAAGAATTTTCGAGTTTTAAAAAGGGAATTTCTGAATTTTTATGAAATAAAATATGTTTAATTATTTGAATCAAGTTAAGTAGTGTGTTTAGTCCGCCTAAGTTTTATTTAGACACCTAAGCCATGCATTAAAACCATTTGAGCCAAGTCACCTTATTTTTCCTCTCCAAATCGCCACCTATCTCCTTAGTCATCCTTTCACTTTACACTTTGGCCAATCAAGCTTAGCCATTTATAACCCATTCTAGAAGGAAGGAGGCAAGTATATAAATAAGAGAGGAGTGAAAAGATGAAAAGATTTTGACCAATTTGGAGTCCATCTTGTAAGCCACCAAAAGAAAGAAAAGAAAGGTAAAATCGTGAGGAGAGAAAGGAAGGAAAAGAAAAAAAGAGAGAGAAAGGAAAGAAGAGAAGGAAAAGAGGGAAAAAAGAAAAGAAAAAGGGAAAAGCTTAGTTCAATGTAAGTGGGTTAATTCATGCTTTAACTCCTTTTCTTTGTGTGCTTAATTTATTTACTTGTTTTGGTTATTGTTAAATTGTTATGCTTG